ATAGAAAGTGATACTCTGATACTCTTTCATTTTTAAGACCTGTAAACAGGTGAGACTTCTCAACAGTCACTTCCTCCATGCTCAGAAATGGTCTGTTGCTGCACGCAGGATGTTAAGCAAAGGTGAGAAGAAGGCAGCATGAATGACTGTTGCCATTTAACCTAATTTATTGCTCAGCACAGTGCTAACATGGTGTGGGATATCCCTTTGGCCAGTTGGGGACAGCTGTCCTGGTTCTGTACACTCCCTGCCGCCCACTGACAAGTCAAGTGAGAAGCTGAAGTGTCCTTGGTTTAGTGCAAGCAATGATCTTCAATAACTAGAACAGTTATCAACATTATTCTCATTCTTAATCCAAACAGCACTATAGCAGCTGCTAGGAAGAAAATTAACTCTATCCCAGCTACTGAACAGGGTACTTCTGACAAAACTCAAACAACAAAACAGAAGAGGTAGAAAGCGAGCCACATGACATGAAGGAAGACGTGAGACATTGAGTGCAAGGATGAAGCTAAGAAAGCCAGAGCCCATTTGGGGTTTAACCTGGTAAGGAACATGAAGACACTTCCAAACACATGAAGGGCAAGGTGACTGGGATTGCTCACCATGGAATTATGAAGAGTAAGCCACACTTGACCAACAGATGTTACTTACCCCTATTAAGGCCTTTGAAACTATTGCCATCACATACTCATGGACAGGCTGACAGAGGATCAGTCAGTGAGGCAGGCTGCAAACTGGCTGAACTGCTGGGTTTAAAGAGTTATAACGAGCAGCACAAAGTTCAACTGGAGGCACTCACTAGTGGCATACCCTGAAGTCATTACTGGGACAAATGCTGTTTACTACCTGCTCTGCTGATCTAAACAGTAGGACAGCATACATACAGAAAACAAACTTTATCACAAAGTAAAAATAAGAGTGTCTCAGATGGGCCCTAAAACCAATCCAACTCCTTGAAGGCCTGGCTGGAAACAGTCTGCACTTCATGCTTGGTTATCAAAAACCCTTCTCCCAGACGAGCTCATAGCTTAAAGGGACTAAGTTATCACTGTACAAGCATCAAAGTAAGACCCAGCATATCAGAGACACTGGACTGTCAATGCAGGTTCTGAGGGAAAAAAAAAAACTTCATACTACACCTTTTACCTGCTCCACTAAAACAATACCACATAAAAACTTTGGTCAGTAGGGCTTTAAAGTACTAAGACAAAGATCTACTTCTACTACTTGCTAAGAAACATAGGCAGTATTTACCAGTGACTTAAGTTTTATTGAGTTAAATAATTCAACCATTGTGTATCATATCCTGCATATGCATACAAACTAGGAACTGAGCCACGTGCAAAACTTTAAAATCCAAATGAAAGCAAAAGAGCTCCAGAGATGCATTCACCTCCAGCACAGGTTATTGACACTCTTTGCAAAAGTGACTGCAAAGCAAAAACAGACACAATTTATAGTCCATGCTCAGCTACAATAACTTCAGCCTATAATAACAGGCTAGCTGAAAACTCCAGTGGTTCAAGCACTGCTGTCCAATCACTTCCAGAAGAGCTGAATCACCTCTTTCAGAAATCAGGGACACAGAAGAATAAAATAAGACAGTACATAACTCCTAATCTATCATTCTCTTTGACCTGGTTTTGGCTAGGATAGAGTTTGTTTTCTTCCTACAGGCTGCAAAGGTGCTGTGTTTTGGATTTAGGACAGCTGATAACACATCAATGTTTACTTGTTGATCAGTGTTTATACCAAATCAAGGACTTATTTGCTCCTAACATTTAACAGTCTAACAGCAGTACCAAAAATCCTTCTGAAAAGTATAGGATATCTCAAAAGAGAAGTTATACTCCATTTTGATTTTTAATAGGACATCAGCAACTATAGTCCCAGAAACACACTTTTTGCTCATGTTGTACTACCTGGATATGAATAGCTTCAAAGCTTGTAAACATCTGTTCATATATACACATAGGAGACAAAACCTACCTCAACCAAATCTTTCCCGCCTCAGCATGCTTCAGAACAGGGCTAGAAAGACAAGCAGAATTCTCCCTGCAGCTGACAGGTCTGCTGCTCTGGCCTGGTAACTGATTCCAGAACTGAATGTGAGCCTTCAGTGCCAATTCTTCCCCACTTCAAAAAGTAAGGAACACAAGAGGCATGAGTAGAATTGCTGAACAGTACAGGAAGGGTAGAGGACAGGGATAGACTGAACAACCAGAATAGTCATTGGTGGAAAAGCCAATGTAGGACAAGTAGCTAAAAACAGAAAAAGGGAACAGAGAAGGTTACGGCTGACAAAGGGCGAGTACAAGAATGTAAAGCAATGTTAAAAACACTCTTGGGCACTGAATTTGCCTTTGAATTACTAAAATACAAACCTCTTCAAAGTGGGGCTCCAAATAGATCACAGCTATACAACATCACTGGAGCACACTTAAGATAACATCACAAAGTAGTTTACTTTTAGAATTTACACTCAGTAAAGCACTATTAAGCACCCGAAATCAGGCACAGGAAACCAAAGCTTCTCTAAGTTAGCTGGCAAAGGATAGCTAGAATTCAACTCTTAATCCCTTGTTTGCTATGAAAAAAAATGGTACCACCACAGGTTTGTCAGCATCCACGCAAGTCTACAGTGTCTAGAAAAGAGAATGTTGAACCACTGCTACACGCATGCAGTCTGCAAAGAACAAGCTTCATTATTCTCTCCTTAACCTGAAGCTAAGATGGGGTCTATTGTATGCAAATGCTACTACGATACTGGGGAGCAGCCACTCTGCAGAGTAGCAGTAAAATAAATCCCTACAATAAGCAAAATCCTTATTTGATCTGCTTACAAAGAACACTGACACCAAGTCCAGCTAATTATTTGGGAGCTAATCTCAAACACGTTCAGTTTTCTAACTAGAATTTGAGAGAATACCCAGGGCAATATTCTGACCTGGGATACTGAAGATGCTCCTAGATCTACATAATACCACAGTTCTGTCAGTTTGACTCCTGTTTCACTTCAGTTGCTAGTTAGATATTACATTCAAGACTGCCTCAAATTAATAATTTCTTACCCAAAGTTTAATTCAAAAGTAAATCAAAATACCGAAGGGTAAAGAAGAGTGCCTAAATCCAAGACAACACCCCAAATCTATGTACATATTTTATAATTACTATCACCAGCCTGCTAATTGTGAACTGCTACACTGAGAGCTGTAGTACTGTACATCCACCATTACCCGCCTTCTGCAGAACTTACTTAGGCAGAAGGAATGCTGCTTACTATAAACACCTCGCTGATCTTCAAGGGAAGACGACTTACTAGCTGCCATGCAGGAAACAAGCCAGGCTCTTTTTTAATGATTAATACATTCAGTGCCTCCCCTTTGAGCCATCTCCTCCTAACTATTTAACCAGAAAAGTAAAAAATAAGCACAGAAAACAGGTAAATGGACTGTTAAACTCTACCACTTCACTCCACTTCTGTTGTTTTGTTGCTTTGAGTTTAGCTCTTCCTGAAGACTAACAGATCTGCAAATTCCTTCCGAGCAGAATTAATGAAAAAATTTCTTTCAATGTTTTTGAATGTCTGTTTTTATTTCAATTATTAACTTTGTGTCACCATAACATAGCTTTGAGGAATGAAGCAAATTATCCAGTTGACTGCAGCTACCAGAACACAGCCTAAACAACCCAGCTTCCAGAACTACTTAGTGCTTGTGCCACAGGCATCAGGGCTTGGTCTCGAACAGTGGTCTACTGAACACTCATATGGTGACAGGGAAGCTACAGATCAGCACCACTATGGTGAAGTATAAAGCTCTAGATACAGAGACCTCCTGTGCTACAGAGGTATTTTCAACTGTACTTCAGCCCAGCTAGCTCAACATAACTCAAAGCTCTATCAAAGCACAAGTTGACATGCTTGAGCTTCTACCATATTAAGTTACTTAACAGAGTAAAGTTATCTGGAAGCATTCCTGCCTTCCCACCATCACACCATTCCCTGCAGCTTGTACTTACTGGCTTATTATTTTACACCAGGAACCAGACGCAAGGCATTCAGAACAGTACAGCCATTTACTCACCTACAGTAGTTTCAATACACTGTGGCTTTTTATTTGATTTTTTTAAACAAGCTTACAACTGAAAGCAGAAGAGTTAAGACATTAAGGTAATGTTACTAACACCCACAGAACGGAGGCATCTTTTGAAGAGACAGGTGGTTGTGTTGCACACCCTCAGAAGGGAGAAAGAATTTGCACTCAGCTTCATCTCACGCACAAAATTAAGTTCACAGAAGAGCAGGTACCAGGCCTCTCGTCCCAAGCTCCACACTGCAAAGAACAGCTTCCAGAAGGAAGGCTGAGGTTGTTCTGACGGCTCAGTGCAGCGTTTGGGCAACAAATCAATTGCAGATGGAAAATTTAGGAAGTCGTTCAGAACTAAAGACAATTGTGGAGCACAGCTTCACTTAAGCAACCCGTAGCGAGCACGCTGGGCGGGAAGAGGATGAAGAACAGCTGTGCAAAGTTGGGTTTCAGCAGCCTCAGGGGGCGACCTCCGTGTAGGCAAACAGCTTAACTGACACTCGGAAGAAGTATTTAACGGCAGCCCCGCCGGAACCGGCGCTGGGGAGCGGAAGGGTCGGCGTCAGCGAACGGAGGGAGCGGGCAGCGTGCGAAGCGCGGCACGCACAGAGATTACATCACGGGGAAAGCAGCTCCAAGCGGGGCGTCCCGCTCCGGCCTCCGAGGGCGAGGCTGAGCGGAGGGGGTCGCGCCGGGCTCCCCTCAGGCCGACCCAGGCGGAGAGGCGGAGAAGGGAGAAACGCGGCGGCGGGCGGGAAGCGACGGGCCGGCGAGGCCTGGGCCGGCGGAGCGCGCCCGCGGCACAGGAAGGGAGGCGGCGGGGCGGGCCGCGGAGGGACGGGCTCCAGGAACGACACCGCCGCGCGGGAGGCCGGCGCCCGAGGGGTCCCTGGCACGACCTCCACTTACCTCCCGCGCGGAGCGGCCGCGGCCTCGGCTGCTGGGAGCGGCGCCGAACCCAGGCCGTCCCTCCGCCGGACGCCGCTGCCCGCGGGTGGGGAGGCGGAGGCCGAGCGAGGCCCAACCCCGCTCAGCCAGCGCACGGCCCCGCCCCCGCGCCGCCATTGGTCCAACTGCGGCCACACGGGAGGCTCCGCCCCCAGAGGGACGCTCGGCGACCAATCCATAGGCTCTCCTCTGCCGACCCTAAGAAAGGGCATGGGGGCTCCTCCATTGGCTGGGAATTATCCCACGCCTTCGGTAGCCCATTGGCTTGCGCAGCTTGCAATCCTGTCCCCTCGGCCTTGTGATTGGTCGGTTCTAAGGCCGGGGCAGACCGTTGCGGGACTGCTCCTCGCGCTTAGCGGACACTGAAAAAGACGGGATTGGTTGCTGGAGTGTTCTACCGCTTCTCATTGGCCGCCGCGCGGCGGCCGCTCGGGGCTCGCGCGCTGCGCTCCGGTGACGTTGACGTGACGACGCAGCGAGCGGCCTGGCCTGCTTCCCAAGATGGCGGCGCGCAGAGCGCGGGGGCCGCGCTGTCGTTAAGAGGCCCGGCGCTCCACACCGCTCTGCTGTCCCGCGCGAGGCCTGTGAGTGCGCGGCGCGCGGGCGGCATCTCCTGGGCGTAGGTGGGTGGGAGTCCGGCCCTGAGGCACAGGGCAGGGGAGCGGGGGCGAGCGGGGGTACCGGGAGCCTCTGCGAGCCGGGGGAGGTAGGACGGAACCGGGCGCGAAGGGCGCTGCGTGAGGGAAATGCGAGGGAGCCGCGATCGGAGACCCGAGGGCTTGGCGGGGCGGCCAGGAGCGCTGTGTGACGGGTGGGGGGTGGGGGGCGGGGGCGCGGTTCGCGGTGAAGGTTTTGGGGCTGCGGGGCCGTGCAGGCGGAAGTGCCTTTGGCTCTGAGAGGAACGGGCCTGGCTCGTTAAAAAGCTCATTAAAAGTCGCGGCCGAGCGTGAGGAGGAGGAACCGTAACGGCTGTTAAATGAGGGGGGAGCCGGAGAGTGCTTTAAGCGGCTGTGGACTGTGTGTGACAGGGCTGTCAGTGGCACGGGGAGACCTGAAGGCCCTTCAGGGTGGCACGACGTGCTTTCCTTCCGACAGAGAAACTTGCTGAGTTTAGGAGAGATGGGTTATTGCTTTTTCTTCTTTCTCCTTCTGGCTGTTCGTTTGTCTTGCCATCCGTTTTCGCAGTGGAAACATCTGGAAAATCAAACTTCATCAGATTTGAGTAGGCTTACTCCTGGGTCTTCCTCTGACTGTTTTGCTTGGAGGAAATCTGTTGCGTCATATTGTAATGGGCATTTGTTAGTGGAAGCTTTGCCAGTGTGCACAGCAATTTGGGCATGGTATCTGTAGTTTATTGAATTATAGTAGAAATAGCCTTGTGCCCAGAAGAAATAAAGGCACCTCTGTAAATTGTGGAAGGGCTGAGCGCCACTAACAACTCCAACACCAGAAAGCTCTTTGCAGAGCTTTAGTGCTGTCTGTATGGATAGGTGAAATGCTGGTCAGCATGCTCTAACTGTAATCTGCTGCCTTATTTTGGTGTGATTTTAGGTGGCACCTTACCACACAGACCTATCTCAGTTGTCTTGATCTTCATGTGTGAAAGAACATTAATCTGTACTGTACTGTTTTTTTTCTTAAGTAACTCAAGTGCAGATCACTTCACAAAGGTTTTAGCCAAGTGTTGCCATCCTGGTCATGTTTTCAGGAGACCCACTGGGTGTTAAAATTGTCTTCAGGCTGACCTAACATACGTGTCCTGGTTATGAAGAGTGATCTGATTTCATCTCCTTCCCTCAGCTGTTCAAATCTTGCTGCTGCCATCACTAAAATGTTTTTTTCGTATTTTGTGGGCAAAATGGATTAAAGTTGTTCTATAGAAAAGTAGCAGGTACTTTTGATAAAACGTTGTAGAAGTTTCTCTGTCAAAGAATAGCAAAAATAATCATATATATGTTTGGTCTTTGAATTGCATTTGCAGTATACAGGGAAGATGAGAACACGTTAAATATTACCCATTTTTGAGCATGGAAAAAGAGTCCCCTCCATTTTAAAATATGTTCTTTTTGCTTTTCTTAAAGGTACTGAAGCTCCTAACCAGAAACTTTTCTGAAAACTTAACCAAGCAAGAACAGTTCTGTTTTAATAAATGAAGGAGAATAAAGAAAATTCCAGCCCTTCTGTAAACTTGGCAAATCTGGACCATACAAAGCCATGCTGGTACTGGGATAAGAAAGATTTGGCACATACACCTTCACAGCTTGAAGGGCTTGATCCAGCCACCGAGGCACGGTACCGCAGGGAGGGGGCCAGGTTCATATTTGATGTGGGAACACGTTTAGGGCTGTATCCTTTAAATTCCTGATAGAAACGTGTTGACGAGTGGGGGGTTTGAATAGTTAAATATTGCAGAAAATCTGTGGTGAGCTGTTCAAATGTTTCTCCATCGTGAATCAAAAATCTTTTTAAGTGCTGCCTTGTAGTTTTAGCCATTCCTTGGGTAATCGAGGTGTTTTCTGACTCCCATTGGCAATAGAGGAGCAAAAGAGTACAGTCTTGTCAATTATGGATATTCTGGCAGTTACCAGATGTGGTTTCACGTCATGTAATTCACACAAATTACATGATTCCTCAAATTTTGAATTTTGTGTTCATTTTTCTGCATATTTTAACTTTACAGATTCTAACCTGTGATCCACCTCCCCCTGCTTTTTCTTTCTTATAGGTTGGGATCTACAACTTTGTATATGTTGGTAATTTCTTCCCATTGTCTCACCTCACAGATACCACTTAATTACATCTTTAAATCCCACGAGTTCTTTGTTTAATAAATCTTGAAGATATAATTTTGCATTTATTCTGGCAGGGAAGAGTAGGGAGCGTGTTCAGATGAAAGCTGTATTTGTAGGTATGAATGTTTAGTAACTGTTTTCTGCAGTAACAGTTTCATGTGAAGCGATACTCATACGAAGTGATACTTTTGTTCCCCTTTGTGCCTATTCTCTGCTTTTGAGCTTTTTGAGGTCAGTGGTGCTTGTCATGCAGATGCCCATCATGGATGTGATGTGGACTTTTCTTACTGCCAGTAAACACTTGAGGTATCAGCTGCATCCGGACTGAATTTGCACTGAGGGGGGTCGTGGCTTCTGTTTGTCCTTTAATTGCAATGTTTTTCAGCCAGTCAGTGAATGGACAGCTGCTTGAGATACTTGGTACATCAGAGTGTATCTTTTCCATTGGGTATATGTGGTTTAAAATTTGTTCTGTCACTCGCTTGAAGTTCCTTATCCTGCACCACAGACACTATGATACTCTAGCAACTGGAATCATTTACTTTCATCGGTTTTATATGTTCCATTCCTTCAAACAGTTCCCAAGATATGTAAGTATTTACCATATTGATTACCTAATGCCATGATGATGTGAAGGATAGGCTATCTGAAATGACTACAAGTCAAGGTATTACTGCTTGCCTCAACGATTAAAAATGAATTTTTTATCTCTTAATCAACATAACTCCTGTTTGTTCACTCATTTTTATGGTTGGAAATGTGCTTGTGTTGGTAACATCTTGCTGATGCTTTTCTGTCACAGCTGATACAAGACAAATTCTACTTAGGGTCTCTAACCAAGAAATAAAGTTCTATGAAATGGTCAGTCCTCCAAATTCTGTCCTTTTCTTTGAGACTGAAAAGCTTAAATTAACACTACGGTAATATTAGAAGTCAATGTGCTTGTTAAATCTCTTCTGGGAAACTTCTACGCATCTGTTAATGGAAACTGACAGTGCTTTAATAATGTTGTACTGTACTGAATATGCAGACAACTCTTTGAAAGCACTTTTATTTTTCAGGTGACAGGAGCCTGCTGTCTCTTCCTGGCAGGGAAAGTTGAAGAAACACCTAAGAAATGTAAAGATATAATTAAAACAGCCCGTAGCTTGCTAAATGATGTACAGTTTGGACAATTTGGAGATGATCCAAAGGTAAAAAGAAAATACTCACATTGAACTCATTTTCATCCTATTGTACCCAGCAACACGACAGGCCTTAAAGCACTGATTGGTTTTCGGTTGTTGCAGATTTCATGTTGAACATGCATTTGTGGCTCTTCTGGGTAACGTAGTAGGAATTATGAAAATAATTCTTGCTAATAGAGATAGTTCTTGCTAACACAAGTGAAAACTACTGCAGTAAGTGTTTATATAAAAGCCTTATATTTGATTTCCTGTGAGCTCTGGTGTTATTTTGCAATTTAAAATAAATCTGGAGTCATTGTGGTCAGAGCTAGAAATGCTGTCAAGACATAAATCACACTTAATGTGGCTTTAGGAAAGAACCCACTGCAAATCTCAAGTCCAATAAGAGAGCATCATCTCAAATATTTTAAGGTTCTTGTTTATAGTACTTAGCAAAACTAAGCTTCTCTCAAAAGTGTTGCTGATGTTTTTTTGTAATTACAAGACAGATCTAAAACTAGAGAGATACGGTGGAAGCTTACCTGTTTGTTTTGTGTATTGGACAGTTTTATGCTATATCTACTTCAGTTCTTTGTTGCACATAGGAAAAGGAATTTAAAACACAACTGCCCTCTGCCCCAAGTAACTCTGAAGAAAAAGTGTCTGGATTTAAAAGAGTGATTAAGTTGGAAAGGTTTTTCTTCTCCTTGGAGACAAACCCTAATCAAACAAAAGCAGGCAAACATGTTTGCGTGGAGATGCTCTGTAGTCAGACTTCATACCAGCATAAAATATCTGTGAGTAAAAATGGGTCTGATATTGTGGTTACCTTGTTGTGTGTTGTAGGAAGAAGTGATGGTCCTTGAAAGAATCCTACTACAAACAATAAAGTTTGATTTACAAGTGGAACATCCATACCAGTTCCTTCTCAAGTATGCTAAACAACTCAAAGGTAAAGTGCTATAGAGTGAGCGAGTGCTGCCTGTCCTTAATTTGTGACATCTTATTTACATTAATAGTGCAGGTGTGTTCTGCTCCAAAGAGTTTGCTTTTCTGATAACTTTATTTCTTTTA